TCGGGCCACTGGATGATCACACAGCAAGAACCACAGCAAGAACAGCTGCGGGGCAGCCAGCAGGCTCTTACCCACCTGATGGAGCACAGGGGAGAAGGGCAGTGGGCCAGGTCACAGGAATTGCTCAATGGAGAAAACCGTGGCTTTAGTGTTCATTTGTGGGGTGGGAACAAAGAGGAGAGGTGATGAGGAGATGAAGAGTTCCTCCAGCCGTGCAGCACAGCAGGGAGGCTGGGAAAGCAAATGGACGGCAGACGTGGGAGCCTCCGGTGGTCAGGAGACAGAAGTGAGTCCCACAGAAAAATGACCGGAAGGATATGCGTCTAAGTGCCAATGGTGATTTGATTTGATTTGATTTGATTCGTAATTCATAGACTTTATTTTCTAGAGCAGTTTTAGGTTTATGGAAAATGGAGCAGACAGTACAGAGTTCCTGTATCTCTCCTCCCCCAGTCGTGACCTCAGAGCCCCTATTATTAACCTCTTATATTAGCCGTGGTCCATTTGTTATACCTGATGAGCCAATATTGATACATTATTATGAACTAAAGTCCCTAGTTTACATTAAGTTTGCTCTTTGTGATGTACATTCTATGGGTTTTGTGAAATGGGTACCATCACGTGTCACCATCACAGTGCCATACAGAAGAGATGTACTGCCTTAAAAATGTCCTGTTTCGGGCCAGCCGAGCGGCGCGTTGGTTAAGAGCTGGCTTGGGATGCAAGAGGACCCCGGTTCAGATCCCACATATGAGGGCCAGTGAAACTGCCCTCCACAGCTAAGATGCTGAACAACAGCTCAACCTGGAGCTGGGCTGCAGTGAGTCGCCAGCAACGGTATAGGCTGCAGCCCCTGCTGCAGTGGGTTGCCATGGGCTACCATGTGTAGCCAGCAGCCAGCGTGAGCGGCCAGCAGCCGCAGTGAGTGGCTGTCTAGAAGCTGGCGACTGATCTGCCTCGCCCGGGAAGAGCGCAATGATGGTGCCAACTTGGGCCAGTGAAGCAACATCCTCCACAACTAGACTGAAGAACAANCAAAGTAAAAATCTCTGTTTTAAACCTCTGGACACCTTTTTGCCCATTTGCACCCGAGACAGCGGGCACCATTGGCCATAGAGAGTACCTGTGTCACCATACCTTTCCCGGTTTTTTGTATTATTAGTTTTAAACATGTTTTCCAATTTGATTGGCAGAAGAATGACATCTCCTCATTGCTTTCGCTTGCATTATGTGTTTGATCACCAGCTGAGTGAATGTTTTGTGTGTGTTTACACACCTGAGAATCATATTCCTGGCAGAGTCTGACTGAGGCCTCACTCCCTCCTGCCTTTGACAGGTCTGGACATGTCCTGTGTCCCCCAAGCTACTGGCTTTTTAACTTGACTCTTAATTAGAGCTGAGTCCCCGGGTGTCACCTTTCTCACAATTACTTGTGTCCAGGGCCAGGTGTCAGCTTTTAGGGGCAGCCGAGTCTGAGTTCCCGTGGGGAGTCAACTGCACACGTGACCTGAGGTAACCTTGCCCTGTCTTGTTTGCTCCCTGGAGAGTCTGCTCCCAGGGTCCTTATTGCTGGGCAACAGGGGACAGTGGACCTACCTCCCTGTCCATCTTGGACAGCTCTGCAGCATGAAGTTGGGGATTTGCTCTGGACAGGCCAGTACCACTGTTAGCTGAAGCTGACCACTCGCCAGCTGAATACCCAGGGGGTTAAGCCCTTTCAGCCAAGTGGCCATCCGGTGCCCGCTGACACAGAATCCTGTGGTCTCTAATGTACTTTGGAATTAGGTGCTTGGCAGGCTCTGTCCCCTTTGGCCTGGAAGTGCGCTGGTGGCACAGCAGGGCCCCCCACATCATGTGGCTTGCTGTGAGTACCTGGATTGGGCGCATTCATGGTCTCATAAGCCAAGTCACCAAATCGCATCCTGAACATGGTCGCCGTCCAATCGAGACAGAATGCACGAGTCCAGTCCTGGGGAACGTCCTGGACTCTGGCCTGCAGGTCTTTGCCCAAGCTGTTACAGGTCCCGGATTATGCCCGCCCACCCACCTGCCCGCCCCATTCTCACCTTTACTTCTCTACCTATCTGGTTCCTACTTAGCTCCTAGCCTCCACCCCCCTGGGTCCCTGAAGTTGGGTTGGGAGCCTGTCCTGTGTGATCTCATTGGATCCTGTGCTACCGCTGTGACCACTGCCTGACATTGCCAGTTCACAGGTCTGGCCCGTTTTGAGGACAAAATGTGTCTTGTTCCTCCTTGAAGCCCCAGAAGCTAATACAGCTTAAGGCATGTNGTGCCTGACCCCTTTCCCCTGGACGTGCGCAAGCTGCTGGTGGCGGGCAATCGCATCCAGCGCATCCCCGAGGACTTCTTCATCTTCTACGGCGACCTGGTCTACCTGGACTTCAGGAACAACTCGCTACGCTCGCTGGAAGAGGGCACTTTCAGCGGCTCCGCCAAGCTCGCCTTCCTCGACCTCAGCTACAATAACCTGACCCAGCTGGGCGCCGGCGCCTTCCGCTCGGCGGGGAGGCTGGTCAAGCTGAGCCTGGCCAACAACCACCTGGCGGGCGTGCACGAGGCGGCCTTCGAGACCCTGGAGTCGCTGCAGGTGCTGGAGCTCAACGACAACAACCTGCACAGCCTCAACGTGGCTGTCCTGGCCGCGCTGCCCGCGCTGCGCACCCTGCGCCTGGACGGGAACCCCTGGCTTTGCGACTGCGATTTCGCCCACCTCTTCTCCTGGATCCAGGAGAACGCGTCCAAGCTGCCCAAAGGTGAGCCCTCCAGGCTGGGCTGGGGGAGGGAAGGAGGGGACAGGGAGAGGCCACCACGGCCCAGGAGCTCCGGGCCGGGGGCCTCAGTGGAGCCTGTTAAGAGGAGGCTTGGGTGCTGGTGCGCAACAGCTGTGGATGAGAATTGCTCCTGATGTAACCCTCGCACGTTCCCAGCCCGAACTTTTCCCAGGACTCTGCTGGGGAAAGGGACACAGCTGAATTCCCCAGAGTTTCTGGGCCCTGATGCTGTACTTCTCTCCATTTCTCCAACAACCCGCTTTCTGAAGTTAGGGATCTGCCATTTCTCGGTCACTCATTACCGAGGTCATCTCATGGGCCTCTGGGTCCTAGTACTGGTGGGTGGGGGTTATTTAACAGCACTCCCCTAAGTGGAATTCACCCTGTCCTGTAGAAAACAGCTCAGCGCCATTCTCACTACCCTGACCGGGAGAGAGAGCCAGCCAGGTCTAAGAACTCTCCAGCAGCTACCTGAGTAGGTTTCAACTTCAGCTCCCAGTTTGCTCATCTGGCTAAAAGGAGTGAGGCTATTCCTGGTGAGGAATAATGTCAGCCTGCTAAGAGCCAGTGATGCAGTCAAGATTTGTAGCTCTGTGGCTTTTCAGCCCAGATGTGAAAGCACTGAGCAAAACCACCGTGGGCTGGTGGATCCTTCGCTTCTCTGGTGCACTTTGCCAGTGGTGATGCACATACCCACCTGGCAGATGGGAACACAAGGGCGCAGCAGTGAAGGGGCCCCGTGGAGGCCAGCAGGAAGGAAGAAAGGCAGAGCTGAGGAGGGGACCTCAGCATCCACAGGGGTGACTCCCAGACGGGGAGCGGGCAGACTGTCCTTATCCTCAGGGACCCCAGCCTTCCACTGGCGAGCGTGTGAGCGTGTGGGCCCAGCAGCAACCTGCAGAGCCGGACTCCACCTCCGCCTGTCCCCAAGGCTTTGGCAGAATAGGAACCAGGGCTGTGCGGAATGCATTAGAAAAGGAGACACAGATACAGATTTAGCGTTCATATATCTAATTTTCCATGTACTGAGAAGTCCAGGATGTTGCTCAGCTAAGCCCTGAATTCCTGTGCTCACTTACTCATTCCATACTTGACTAAGCACAAACCCCAGGCAGGGACAATCGCTCCTCAGCAGATGCAGGCTGTCTGAGCTGTCACTTTAAGCCCAGGCAGGCTCTCCCATGTGAGCAAGCCCTAAAAAGAGCTGGCCTGCAAGAGCAGAGACCCACAACTTTATACTTCACCTTCATACCTGCCTTCATTACCTGCCTGGCTGCCCAGACCCTCCCCCGCAGAAGCTGACCTGGAGACAGGCGTGTCCGCCTGAGTCCTCTCTGTGTGCCTTGGTTCAGGCTGCTCCTTCCTCTGCTTCTTGGTGGAGTTGGCACCCTGAACTCCCATTGTTAGTTATGTTGGTGTAATTGGCTCCCAGGGCCACCCCCATGAGGGCTAGGCGTTAGGAGCTGTGGGTTTCAGTCTCAGCTCTGCTGTGAGTGGCTGTGACCTTGAACAGACCACCTTATGCTGTCGAGCCTCAGTTTCCTCATTTCTAAAGTACTTTGGTTGACTTCTGAGGTCTCTACAGAGCCCTGGAGTTGGAGTCTAAAGACAGAGGTTGGAGTCCTGGCTTAAAAAAAAAAAATGAGTGACTCTGGATGGGTCACTTAACTTTTTGGAGCCTCCTTTTCTTCCTGTTTGACACTGAGACGCAGGAATGCTGTGTAGTCCGTCTGACCTGATGGTTGTCAGGATCAAAACCAGATAATATGGGTGAAAGGGAGGAACAGCCTGAGTGTAAAATGTCATTTCTCCCACTGTCTATAATGTGGGGGAGAAAGGGGACACCAGATGGGATGTGTGGCTGGGGGGCAGGACGGACAGGTTCAGAGCAAGGAACAGTGTCCAGGCCTTGGGGGAGGCTTGGTCCCATCAGCAGGGAGAATATGGAGGCTGGGAGGGAGGGCAGCATGGAGGCTCCTGGCACCTCCTGCGGGGAAGAGCCAAGAACAGCTCCGCTCTCACTGCAGGCTGCCCGCGCTGGACGTCCAGAGCAGTGGATCTGCTGCCCAGCAGTGTGGCCAGAACGGTGAACCAGAGGCATGGTGGGTAGCGGAGGGCCTAGCACAGGCCTGATGTGAGAGAGCCGAGGGCTCGTCTAGACTCAGGTTTATAATCTTAGGCACGTCCCTGACCTCTCCGAGCCTCAGTTTCCCTGTCCCTAACTTCAGAATCCAGCAACAGAACCCCACACCAAATTTGCTGTGAGGCTCGAACAAGGTTTGAACGAGATCGGCTCTGTCAAGGGCAGAGTAATGCTTAGCGCAGACTAGGGGCTCAAGAGACGTCAGCTGCCCCTTCTGCGTTTGTGCTGCTGATCTCATCACAAAGACATCAGGGCGAAGTGACCGAGAGCCCAGAATCCGGCACTGAGCTGCTTGGTTCAAATCCCACCTCTATTTCTTAGTAGTTGTATGACCTTTCATACCCCAGTTTCCTCATCTGTAAAATAGGGGTGATACTAGTACCCACCTCATAGGGTTGTTGTGAGAATTAAAAGGGTATCAGAGCAGTGAGAACAGTGCCTGACATATAGTCAGTACTCATAAGCGTGGGTGCTGTTGTTATTCTCCTGTCTTCACTAGAAGGCCCAGAGAAGTGATGGGAGTGACTTGCCCAAAATCACGAGAGAGTTCAAAACAGCCGGGGGATACAGCAGGACCTCCTAGCCCCCAGGCCCCTGCCATGCTCACCACTGTCTTCCTGCCAAAGGAACTCAGGCCCAAGCTCCAGGGCTTTCGGCTGGTGCCCTGCCTCTCCCAGGGGAAGGAATTCAGAGGAAGAAACAAATGGGGCTGTGTCCACATTGACTTTCCCTCGCCTCCCCTGAGGCCACAGGGTGAAAGGCCATGTAGCCGGCAGGCAAGAGGCTATGTCTGTGCTTCAGAGGTCCGAGAGGACACAACCCATGACAAACCCTGAGACTGCATCCTAGGAAAGGCCCATGCAGCTCCCTGGGGGAGGCTAAATAGCTGAGACACTTCTTTCACTTCCCTGTCTAGCCACGGCCACGCGGGGCCTTGACTCATAGCCCACAGTACTAGGGAAATGCGGTGAGCTGGTTCTCATGCCTTAGTGACCTTGGCACATGGAGCTGT